CCCCAAAACCCCAAAACCCCAAAACCCCAAAACCCCACGGTGTTATAAATAAATTGAAAATGGAAGGAATTTCCAAATTAGACTTTCTAGTGAAAACCCTTGATAGCAGGGAAAGAGACAAACATTTCATTGAGAAAAATAGAAACCTGATTGTTCCGAATATTGCAGCAAATGACAGATATATTGCCAAATCGATAAAATAGCATGTCAAGAAGAGTCAGTCGAAGAACATTAACGATGAAGTCTGGAGCGAAGCTTAGAAAGTAAGCTCTCATGTAGAATTTGCATAGGGTTGTAAACTATAGTAACAAAGATGGTAGAATAAGCTCTCAAGACTACAAAGAACAACTTCCTGAAATAATTTCTTCAAAAATGGATATCTCAATATTAAAACAAAAACTTAATAGTCCTAGGGATATCTTCCATAATGAGAGTTTAAAGACAGTTTCTGAGCGGAGATTAGAAAGAAAGAACCATATTTCCAAGTTGTGCAAGTAAGCCCTTGCCTCACCACAGAAAGCTGCGCAAGCACCAGCAGAATGAAACTTTCGAGACGAGCCCGACCACAATTCTTGAGTTAAAATCAGGTAGTACTCGTACTTGTTCCAAATAAAAATTCAGATTTGCCTCCTGCTAATCCAGCAAACTTCGCACCTGTTGGTTCTAAGCTTAACACAAGCTTGAACAGGTTCCAGCTTTTAAATGAGGTTAAGCTGGATTACTCCAAAGTTAAGCGAATCAACTTTAACAGCTATTCTAATGCAGCCAAGTTCCTGAAAAATCATAAAGAAGAAAAGGATGCCAACCAACTGATTCAGAGCCTTAAGGTACACAAGAGGAAAACTTCCATGCATGAAGCAGAGAAGAATGAGAGAAGGGAACTTGAACAGGCCAGAAATAGGACCCAAGCAGTCCAAATTGTATGATAAAGTGAGTTTATTGATATAGATACCCTTCCATGTCAAGCTCAGCCCCAATACAACCCAGAAGAATTTTGAGATTTATGGGCAACAGATCAGTCCTGTGAGGGAAAAACAAATGCAAAAGAACCAAGCCATGCTAGAAAAGCTAGGATTGATGAAGAACATAACTGATGAAGAGGATTCCCAAAGCGAAGATAATGATAAGTAAGAGTATGCGTAATTTGGTAGAGAGCCAAAATTTAAAGGACTGAGTGATACAAAATAAAGACATAGATATTAAAAAGGTAGGCTATATTTCAGAATTATGCTCAAGAACTGCAGATGATGCTTTAGAGTTAATTATTACAATATTTCTAAATACTCCCTTACCATCACACCAGTTCCAATCTCACATTCTCTCAATCCTTTCAGGCTAATACTCTAGAAAACTCATCTCTTTCCATTTGAAATATCGCACAATGACCATTTCCCTGAAGATAAGAAAGTGATTCCTTTACGTCCAATGAAAACGAGTGGTTTCTTTGGCTCCCAAAAACTTTTCGAAGCTGCTAAGTAAGCTATTAAGCTACCATTTAGAAATGGATACCACCTCAAAGTACAAGATAATAATTATCAAAGGTATGCATAGTGGTTTAGACAAGCTCCAGAGTCACTTTCCTGCTTAGTTAGTGCAATGGAGTGGAGAGAGGGCATATCAAATCATCTTAGAGCTCTTTTGGGGTAATACCTTCCATATAGCCTCAAAAATGCAATCCATGATACAAAAATCATTGAAGAATTAAAGAATACGAGATTGGACCCTGGAAATATTTTATTTTCTAATTTCCAATAACTTTCAATGACTCCTCACTGAAGGGGTTTTGGGGTTTTGGGGTTTTGGGGTTTTGGGG